CAATTATATACTAGGACATGTGAAAAATTCATATTCCTTTCCATTTGACTTGTACTTTATTATCTTTACAAATTTTCAACCATATATCAATTCCTAAAGTTTTAAAGACTCGTAATTGTTAACAAGTGTTTCTCTCACACAATGCATTCTTATTAATGGATGAATAAATTAATAATCTAATAATTTTAATAATAATAAATTAATAATTTATTCCTACAACATTAATAATTATTAATAATACAATATTACTTAAGGTTATTAACGTATTATTAATAATTTAATAGTTTGTGTTTCATAAGCTTACTTAGTGATTTCTCAAAATAGATAGGGATACTTTTTCTAAAAATATTTGAACCCTTGTTCCTAAGAGATGAAACAGTTAACACAAGGGGTTTGAACATTCTTAAGAATGGTTATTCTTTGATTTAAAAATAAATCAAATGAGAAAATAATAAGACCTAAGAACAAAGGGAGAATGGTTTAACTATCCCTTCAACCAAACATACCCTAAGAGTTTTTCTTTTGTGTTTTCTTTTTTTTTTAACATGAAAGCACATAGAAGTATGACCATATATTGATTATGCTATATAGTTTCAAATTACTTTGCCATCATAGAGAAAATAGTTTAAATAGTTGAATAGAAAAAAAAATTGATGAAAAAGAATATTTGATCCCCTCCCCAAAATCCTAAAGAAATACATCAGCAAAGAATTGGACCACAAAGGAACAGTATATCATATACCATTCAAACACTATAAACAGTAAAAGACACAAGAGCAGAAATCATCTGCAGGGAAACTTTGCCAGGAACTGAAGTATTTCTCCCTTTTCTGGCTCAAAGTAGAAGAAGTGGCAGTTCCATAATGGAGCATTCCCCTTTTTTTTTTTTGACAAATTTTACATTGGTATTTTCTAACAATTACTACTTGATTTTAAACAAAAAGGAAAGGAAAAAGAAAAAGACCAATGTATGCAGGCAACGATGAAGTGCTTTTACTTAAACACTCTCAAAAGCTGCTTTAAAGCAAGCAGGCAATGCAATGGGAAAAAGCTCTAGGCCAATGGTTTGACACTTGCATCAGGGTAATTTTCTATTTTTGTTTCACACGGCAAGAACTGATGATGAACCCCCCTCAATTCAACACCAAGTTAAGTAGTAGCAGGTGTGCTAAGCTCCACTTAATTTGAAAGATAGAGACCATGCCCTCATCCACTGGAGTAATCAATCGACCCCACTCTCCTTATCTCCATCACTGTCGTGGTGGAAGCTTGTCCTTGTTGCCTACTGCCAAACTCTCTCTCTCTCTCTCTCTCTCTCTCTTTCTCGCATTCAAGTGATTTCAGTCTTGACTATGTTTCATTGTAGAAACACTGTAAATGTAATAGTATATGCGTTATGTGTGGTGGGGAAAGAAAACTTAATTAGTTTTTTACTACATAATGATTTGAGAGGTCAGAATTCAACATTTTGCCTTTCAGAGCTCCCTGAAATGTATGTTACGGAAATTAACGGATTGTGTAACTCAAAACTTAATAAGCTTTCTTTGAATAATAAAAGTAATTTCTCCTTTAACCAAAAAAAAACAAAAAGAAAAGGTAAATATTGGAAATGGTGGGCTCCAGGCTGAAGCAAAAACCAAACATATCTGCAGAACAGTGAAAAGTTCAACACTTTTTGGACTGCGATTGACTGAGGTGGGGCACAAACAAACCACCAGCCTTGTGTAAAGGGGAACTTCTCATAAATCCAGCGAGCCATTCCAGATGCATGGTGGTGGACATGCTTATCATTTCTCACAGTAAATTCCGTAATATATATAAAGTTTTGCAGCAGGAAAATAATCATATCCCATTCATCGAATGGACCACCAGTCAGGCCACAGTGAATTGAATTTTAATCTCCCAATTGAGGGGACAGACACTTCGTGCCCACTGCCACGGGGTCCATGTATGCTGAACTTTCTGGAATGGTAAATCTCTACCATTTATTGTTGAAAGACTAGTACAAAGTTTTTTTAAAAGAAAAAAAGAAAAAAAATAGGGTCCCAAATGTAGCCTCCCTGTATTTATTACCATGCTTTAAGATTTGGTCAGCTAATTTAAGTGATGATACAATTAAAAATTTAGAGAAAGTTCATCCTATTGTTTCCATTGATGACTAGCTAATATGCTCTGGTCAACTCGAAGTCATTGGGATAAGATATTTGGAAAATATTATATTTCCTTTGATTTTTCCAATATTCTTGGATCAATCTACAAAACTAAATGAATAAATATGGACTGTCATTTGGTTAGATGCCAATGTCTACCACTTAATAACTAAGGAAAAACATAATCTAAAGAATTGCCTAATGTTTCTTTTCTTTGGTACGTAAGAATTGGGTTAAAATACAAAGAACCTTGAAGATTTAATTGAAAATACATTTACCTTAATTAGGTGGAAAAATACATTTTTATCTATTTGAGATCTGGTTGGAAAACATTTACCCTTTGAAAAATAATTGTGTTAATTATTTTGTTAATTTTAAAATGAAAAGACAAGCATATCCCTTCGTTATTTATTTCTAAATTTCAATATATATATATATATATATATATATTTGCTTCCTCTTTTTATCCTTTTTTTTGTCCAAGAGTTTTTGTTTTTAGTTACAAAATTATGAATTTCAATTATTTATAAAGATGGTTGAACTATTTAATTATTTTTAGAATCATTTTTAATTTAAATCAAATTTATTTTAACTAGGTTAAATTATAATTTAATATGCATTTAAATATATTAAATTATATATAATCTAATTAAGGAAAATAATTTTCATCTGTAGGCACTTCATTTTTTGTCTTGCCAATTACGGAGAAAATAAGAAATTTGAAAAAAAAATGAAAAAAAAGAAAAAAAAAATAATATTAGAAAAGAGTCCTATGTTCATCTTAGTCCTCATCTTAATCCATCTATGGAATATTAAAAAGCAAGTTAAATCCAATGAAAATTCAATAAAAGAAATTTAAAACAAACACAACAACAATGGGTAAAAAAACCATTCATCAAGAAGTAAGGGAGAAGGAATAAAACACAGGAAAAGACAATAAAAACTAATAAAAAAGGATTTTTGGATTTTTTGAGATTTTTTCTTTTTAGTTATTTTAATTTTAATTTTCTTTATTTTTATATATATATAAAGTAATTTAATTATAAATGAATTCTTAATTGGTCCTATTTCTTCATTATCATTATTCTTTTTAGTTATCTTATTCTAAACCAATTTTTTATTTAGATAGTATTTTTATTTATTAATTTAATTTATGCATATATTTCTACATTAAGAAAGTTAAAAAAAAAGGAAAAAAGGAAAAGAGAATAGAATCATAATACTCATGTGTTTGAGTCATAAAAAATTTTAAACAAAATTTATAAGAATTTTTCGATGATAACATCTCAAGAATGCTATAAGAGATGGCATCTTGAGAATTTGAGAGGATTTACATAAATATTAATAAAAAAATAATTAAATAAAGTAAATAAATTGATAAAAATATATAAAACCCAATTAAATAAAAATTCTTAGATGAATAAAATCTCAAAAATGCTATAAGAGATGATTTCTTGAAAATTTGAAAGGATTTACATAAATATTAATAAAAAAATAATTAAATAAAGTAAATAAATTGATAAAAATATAAAACCGCTATTAAACAAATATTCTTTGATGATAATTTCTCAAGAATGTTATTAGAGATGACTTCTTGAGAATTTGAGAGGATTTACATAAATATTAATAAAAGAAGTAATTAAATAAAATAAATAAATTGATAAGAATATAGAACGCCATTAAATAAAAATTCTTTGATGATAAAATCTTAAGAATACTATAAGAGATGGTTTCTTGGAAATTTCTAAATGTGTAAATTTTTCAAAATTATATCGTAAGAGTTGGAGATTTTGAAAAATTTTCAATACTAAAGAATTTTTATTTGTTTCAAAGAAAAAATAAAATAAAATAAATTAACAAAGAGAATAAAAAATAAAATAAAATATTGATCAAGGAAATAAAATTGAATATTGAACAAACCATATTTAATTAGTCTAAAAGATGACTCATAATTAATTAATTATAATTTAATGGGTGTTGTGATTTATACTTGTTTCATAGATTAGGACTTATTCCTTTTAATAAATTGGTCAATCGCATCAAAATAGAAAAGATTAACCCTAACTCATTTGTGGTCGAATAATTGAATTTCAAAACTCACTTTTTTTTTCAAGACTCATACGTTATGATTATGAAATTTTATTAAAAATAAAGTTTCGCCTATTAGTTTAAAAATATTCTCATTTTGTTTATTTTTCTTTTTTTCTCTCTTTTGTCTTCATTTTTCATTTTTTTTTTGTTTTGATGCATTTCTTTATCGTTAAACCATTTTTTTCCAAATTAATGGTAATTAATTTATTTGAACTAAAAATAATTTAATACATTCATTCCAAAGTTAATATATAATTGAATTATAGATAAATGTAAATTAAATTAGAATATAAATTAATTAAAATTTAATTTAATAGTAATTAAATATAATTTTGAAACTAATTAAATCTCACAATTAACTAAATCTCACAGATTTGTAGTTGAAAAAAATAAAAGAAGAGAGAAAAAGAACAAAAAGAAATAGAAAACTAAATATTAACAAAGGATATATTGTCTTTTTATTTAAAATTACTGTCAATAATTAACTATGTGAGTGTATTTATTCAGTGGCAATTTGGTAATTGCAGGTTATCTTCGAACACCTGCGACGTAAACTTAGCTCCATTCCATCCGTCATACAGAAGAATGTTTTTGTCGGAAATGTAATATATAAAAAGAAAAGAAATTTAAAAATAAAAAAAATAAAAGGAGGAGAGATGCGAAACGTTAACAATGGAAAACAGTAGAAAAGAGACTGAATCTCCTAATCCTTTTATGCATAGAGAAAGTATCTAAATATTTCCAAGGACAAAAAAAGGGGAGAGATATGCAAAACCGAAATGATCCAAAAACAGTAAGATACTATACTGCCCATTACTTCACAGCCTGTAAGAAGCCTTGATAATCCGTGAGAAAGCCGACAATTCAAGATAATTCCAAGCATCCCATGTGGGATTCTTCCTTTTCTTTCTCATATCAGCTCCTTCTTTGTTGTATCACAACTTAGTTGTTCGGCTCTTGCTCTGCTTTGTTTTCCCTCTTCTCCTTCTCTCCCTGCTGTAACGGCTACTTTTCCCTGAGAAAGAAACCCTGTTCGACTTTCTCTTCGCCTCAGCATGTGGGAATCAGAGAATGAATCCGTTAGAGGGAGGGACTACGCGAATGGAGTCCTTAGTTCCGGTAAACATGGCGTCAAGACTGATGGGTTCGAGCTGAGGGGCAAGTCCTGGTATGTTCATGGAAGTGAATTGTGTTTTAGATCATGTGATCTTTTGATATATTTGGTTGATTTGTTTTGTGGGTTGCATGTGCAATAGCTTCTAGACGATGTTATAAAATAAAACAAAAAAATTATATATCCTTATCCTATTGGATATATCTTAATTTGTTTCAGAACAAGAACTTGGAGCATAGTTAGCTTCTGAAATATTTTGTCCTCTGTGCAGGTACGTTGCTACTGACATTCCCAGTGACCTTCAAGTTCAAGTTGGAGATGTCAATTTTCATTTGCACAAGGTAGCTGTTGCCCTGCTTAGATGTTTGAAAATATTTACATTCCTCAAAACCTTCTACATTCAAATTTCAGTTACTAAAAGTACTATTCGTTTGAATACATATGACTTACTGTGTTTCTCAACTTGGGGAAGTATCCCCTGCTTTCCCGAAGTGGAAAGATGAATAGGCTTATATATGAGTCACCCGACCTAGACCTGAACAAAATTGCTTTGGAAGATCTTCCTGGAGGACCTGAGGCGTTTGAGCTAGCAGCAAAATTCTGCTATGGTATTGCAGTAGACTTAACAGCAGGGAATATCTCTGGTCTGAGATGTGCTGCGGAGTACCTTGAGATGACAGAGGACTTGGAAGAGGGCAATCTTATATTCAAAACTGAAGCATTTCTCAGCTATGTGGTCCTATCCTCCTGGAGAGACTCCATACTTGTACTGAAAAGTTGTGAAAAGCTCTCACCATGGGCAGAAAACCTTCAAATTGTGCGAAGATGCAGTGAGTCAATAGCTTGGAAGGCTTGTGCCAATCCAAAAGGAATCAAATGGGCATATACTGGGAGACCCACTAAAGTTTCTAGCCCCAAATGGAATGATTTGAAAGATTCAAGCCCCAGCAGAAACCAGCCTGTTCCTCCTGATTGGTGGTTTGAAGATGTTTCAATCCTCAGGATTGATCATTTTGTAAGGGTTATTACCGCAATCAAGGTCAAAGGAATGAGATTTGAATTGATTGGAGCTTCAATAATGCATTATGCAGCCAAATGGCTTCCGGGTTTGATAAAAGATGGTCAAGGGCAAGGAGATGATATGAGCATCAGCAGCAATAGTAATAGCAGTGGCAGCAGTAGCTGGAAAGGTGGACTGCATATGATTGTAGCAGGAACTAAAGATGACACTCCATCCATTCAGTCCAAAGATCAACGGATGATTATTGAAAGTCTCATTAGCATAATTCCACCGCAGAAAGATAGCGTCTCGTGCAGTTTTCTTCTTCGGCTTTTGAGGATGGCAAACATGTTGAAAGTGGCACCTGCCTTGGTAACTGAATTGGAGAAGCGGGTGGGAATGCAGTTTGAACAGGCTACACTGGCTGATCTTCTCATTCCCTCTTACAACAAAAGTGAGACTTTGTATGATGTGGACCTTGTTCAGAGACTCTTGGAGCATTTCATTGTTCAAGAGCAGACAGAAAGTTCGAGTCCAAGTAGACAGTCCTTTACTGACAAACACATGTACGAAGGAGCACAAAGGGGAAATAATCCAAATGCCAAGATGAGAGTAGCCAGGCTAGTCGATAGTTATCTTACAGAAGTTTCCAGAGATAGAAACCTGTCTCTGACAAAGTTTCAGGTATTGGCAGAAGCTTTGCCTGAGTCTGCAAGGACCTGTGATGATGGACTTTATCGAGCAATTGATTCCTATCTTAAGGTAATCTCCTTTTCCCCTTTTAAACAGAAAAATCGAGGCACAGCCTAAATTATTCTCGATTATCTTAGGCAGAACAAAAAAACAAACCCTTATGATTTTTAGCTGCTCATTGCTAGACTTGATATGTTAGTCAATATTATTTGCACATGAGAAATTGTCGTCTGCCAACATATTAAGTCAAGGATGCATACCCTTTTATATGTGCGCGTATTAATCCATAATGCAAATTGGAAAGACGAAGTCAACAGTGATAAACTGTTAGCATAGCGGTATCATTGAGAACAAATGATTGCTTGAGGCGGTTGTAGCACTGTCACTGTTGATGTTAAATTTCTACAGTAGTTCATCAATTGATAGCACTGATGGAGTGCTATTTCCAGGTGAATTGATGTGTGATATGAAGAAAACATGTCCAATTAATGATCCCATTTTTGGGTGACTTCAGAAAAAGGATAAGACATTCAACTTGCTCCCCTTTTTGTGTTTGAAAATTTCCATACTGTATTTGAGCGATGCTTTTGGAGTTTTATCCAACCATTTTTAGGATTGATTTTCCATAGTCTCAACCTGATTAATATTCCTCTTCTTTGGAATTCTCATCTCTGGTTAACAAATTCACAGGCCCATCCAACACTCTCTGAGCATGAAAGGAAGCGACTCTGCCGTGTCATGGACTGCCAAAAGCTGTCCATTGATGCCTGCATGCATGCTGCTCAAAATGAAAGGCTCCCACTGCGAGTTGTGGTGCAGGTGCTCTTCTCGGAACAAGTGAAGATAAGCAATGCATTGGCCAACACCACCCTCAAAGATCCTGCAGAAACTCAGTACCAGCCCTTGATCCCAAACCGTAAGACATTACTAGAAGGGACGCCACAATCATTCCAAGAAGGATGGGTTGCTGCTAAGAAGGATATTAACACACTCAAATTCGAGCTTGAGAGCGTGAAGACTAAGTACCTTGAGCTCCAAAACGACATGGAGAACTTGCAACGGCACTTTGATAAGATGTCAAAGCAGAAACAGACATCCGCATGGACCAGTGGATGGAAGAAACTTAGCAAACTCACTAAGATGACAACCACGGAAAACCAGGACATCGGACCTCAAATCTCAACCACGGCAGAACAAACTAGAAAGGCACCTAGAAGATGGAGAAATTCAATTTCGTAAAAGGTAAAAGGGTTCGAGGAAAACTGAAACACAAACCAAAAAAACAAAAAGAAGAAGAATGCCCTAGAATTGATGAAACAAAGGGATGCCTTACCCCTACGTTTGCATCCTATGCTGCTGCCTTTTTCTCTTTTCTTTTTCTTTCCTTCAAATTCTTCTCACTCTCTTGTCTAAAATTTTTGAGGAAGTGCAGTGTTCTTGTTTACAGTAATTACCTTGAAAAAGTTTTTTTTTAAAAAAAAACCTACCATGAAACAAAAGTAAATTTGTCATTCACATTTTTTTTTCTATGTGGTGATCTCTTTTGCAGAATTCTTTGATTCTGTGTGATAATTCGTCTGTAATTCTCAATTTAGTCCATTTGGTTTGCCAAGGAAAATAGTGTCAATTGCCCTAATTAAGAAAATGCACATACATAACATATTTGTTCTACCTTGTCAGATACAAGGCAGTGCCAAATCAAACAGAGAAAATCACGAACGAGATCAAACATATAGACAATCAACTACCAATAATTTTGTGACGCAGAGATCAGGATTCGGTGCTGGCTGTGTAAGTTAGACCAAAAGCAGATATATCACATGGAGAGACACAGGTGATTAGATAGAAATCAGGCCGAAACAAAAGAACTGCCAATGCATGTGGCTGGTTAGGGGGCAAACACAAGTCCCACCAAGACGAACATTTGAAAAGCACATATATACCTAAATTTTTATGAATTCTGTCATTTTGCCTTGGTAATATCATCATTCAATGATCGTCCTAAACTTCAAACCCCATCATCAAATGTTAACTCATCGCTTTTAAGACTGACAGGACCTCCAAAAAATATTGCCATGCCTCGAGATGTGCTCGGAATTAGGTAAACATGGAATGGAAAAGAAGGGGAAAATGCTAAATAGTTAGGAGTCTCAGAACCTGCAGTATAAGATTGTTCAAAGGCAAGCACGAGCGAAAGTGATTATGACAAAAGCAGTGAGATAAAGTAGGCACGACATGACATTCCCCATTTAGATTAGATGAGTATGAAGTGATGCAATATGCTGAGGAAAAGGTTAAATCCACCGGCCAGGACTGTTTATGAAAGATAATTACTTGGCACGGACTCTTTTTACTTGGGACTCACTTGAGGTATTGCTTTGTTATTAAATGGACAAATTTCACATATATAGTAACAAATCATGGATTTAGGTAAAACCCACCATTTCTATATATCAACTATATATATTCTTCATAACTAGGTACTGAAGATGACTCGTCTAGATAGCTTCATAGTAGTAGTAGTTTGACCAGCTTAGCATGTGAAGCAAGTCCCCAATGTTTTTAAGCCTTCTTCTTCTGGTAATTCATGAAGTAGATTACAACAATTACTTTCTCCCAACCTTGTTCCCATCCCACCTTACTGGTACATATGATCTCAAACATCCCTGATGAATAACAATCACCCAGAATATAGAATTCTAATGGACCTGATTTTTGTAGGATAACATTCCCAAATTTCAGAATCGTTTCACTGCGTCCTTCTGCTGAAATGGCATGAATCAATCCCTTATATCTCTCATCTAATATTTGGTTACTTTCACAGAATATTGATAAAAAATAAGGAGGAACATGTGAGGCAAGGGTCTGCTACATATGCTACTGGTTAGAAACCAGACATGATGGATTCTTCAATTATGCATCATTAACACCATTCTTACAAGGTTAAGAAGTGCATAAGATCGATGTGCTTAGAAGGCAGGGACCAAGTTACTCTAGGCAGTGTCCTTCACTCTTGTCCTAGAACCCCAACTAGACCAGGGCATACAGAGATTTTAAATTTTTACCATAAATTGTTCTGCTAAGATAAAATAACCTTGTGAGAAACTAGCTGCCATGGAACTTAAAGCTTCATAAATGGACATATGATGCAAAATATATGTACGCCTGGGTCTCCCTTGCCTTTCTTTTTTGGTTTGCTTAAACTTCACTCTTCTAAACCATTTTTGTTTCATGTTCTTCAGTTCTGAGAATTACTTGCAAGTCCTAGTGGTGGAACCCTGAAACAAGAAACTCATCTTTATCCACCATCAACATTTCATGAGGATCTTCTAAGTTGATTCTAACTCGCAATATTCACCAAAAAATCAGGAAAAAACAACCCTCCAACAATGGAATCACAATAAAATCTTTCTTTCACCCCTTCTGGTCATGTACACATGCAAACATGAATAGATATGACAACAAGAACGACAACGACCAGCTGCTAGAGGACAAGAACAAAACAACAAATCGATACTCTTTATAAAATTAGACATACCAATTCCAAATGTTTAACTTCACTACGACTTATACATGCTTAATAATTTATGTATCTTTAATTAAAATATTAACTTAGTATCTATCTATGTCTATATTAATATCGAATTCCTAATTAAAGTAAAACACTAACTAAATTGATTATTTATTTTCCACATTTTCTTATTAATCGTGAAAACATTGTTAATCTTAACAAATATTTAATATATTACAGTACTTTAAGTATTTTGTTCAATAATAGACGTATGCATGTCTCTACAAAAAAATTTAGATTCAAATTTCTTTCCAAATAAATAAATATTAAAAAAATTGTCTATTATGGACTGCAGCCATATCTTAAGGCATGTGGACTCGAGGCCTAGTTTCTCTAGGTGCCTACATATCCCAATATCTTTTGAGTATTAGAGCCTCCTAATGGCATAATTATAATTTCATGAGTTTCTAACATTTTAGTAGGTGATGAATTAGCTCTACACTAAAAGTTTGTTGATCTATTTTTCATATTAGTCAAAAACCAATTAAATCTTTAGTGTTGTTATGCTTTATGAAGTAGTATAAAAAGCTTGGGAATATTCTTCAGTGAGTAATATGTGTTAAACTAACTATTTTAAAAAGGAAAAAATTAGCATGAAAATTAAAAATTTTATGGTGTAATTATAAAATAGAGCATCAATAATTTGTTGGTTTGTTTGATGATTGACTTTTATTTTATCTTTAATTGATGATTCATTATTAAAACAATCGACTATTATTTATCTATTTTCTTATTCACCAAATATCGATAAATGCATTGTAATACATAGGATTTTTAATTTTATAGAAACTTGACTGTTTGTTGTAGGAATATAGCTGTATTAAAGGAGACTATATATAAAGCAATTATTGTTTTTCTTTTTATCAAGTCATATATACGAGTAGAAATTACATTCATGATTAAATCATTCTTAACATGTTTATTATACATAACTATCAGTATAAGAAATTAAAATGAAGTAACTAAACATTTAACAAACCAATTAATTAACAAACTAGCATATATATCTTAATACAATCCAACATAAAATTAGATCAAACTTACACTTAAAGAGAGTTGAACTTAGAACCTAAAGGCTTTAGGGCCTCTTATTTACCATTTAAGGAAAGCCTCATTGGCAATTGAAATAATCCATCGATGAAAGGACATATGTAAAAAACACGTGTTTTGCCTTTTTCTTTTTTATCTACATTTAATTTTAATTGATATTTAAAAGTTATTATTTATCAATCTCATCATTTATTTATTAAATTTTCATAAATAATTTATTAGTGTTAATATAAAAAAATACATTCTAGATCTACAATTTATTAAAATTGAATGTGTTTGTCTATAACTCAACAAGAGTATATGAATATTTGATTTATTAATTGATGTATGATATTTAATTTATTAATTAATACATGATCTCCTGTTTAAAAGATAAAATTTGAATCTCTTTTCCTTTAATTATAAAAAAAAATTCAATAAGGTGATCTCACTTCACTTACCCAAATTAAAATATATAAGTACTATTCTTACTTTCCCTTGAATACAAACTTGTGTGATCTTGTTTAGTGTTTTCATGTTGGAATGTCCCAATGCATGCCTTGTATATATGGGGCACCCAAGTTATGATGACTGTTTAATTGCAAAAAATATAAATAAATAAAACCTTTTTTTTTAATTAAAATTTGAACATTTATGTGGAGATTTTACAACCCTTGTATGGTTGCGGAAGTGGGCATGTTGAAGTTCTCAAGAGGTGGGAGACAAGAACTATGTAGCCTACAGTGTAGGCACTCATAAAAGAGATGCATGCACCAAATCCCTCAAAAGTCTACTCTTCATACAAGAAAGGGTGCCACTGCCAGTGTCTGCTGCAAAGTTACTTCCATCTCATCAACTGGGGAGTGATTTTTGGGTTTACATTTTGAAATCATCCTGCAGTTTAGCTTTGCTTTTATCTCTTGCTACACCACCACAATGTCATATCATTGAATTTTTTGGCTTCATTAAACAATAATAATAATGACAAGTAAAATTAAAATAATCATTTCTATTTTACTATACACTTTCATGCCACACTCACAACATCCATTAGAAATGAATGGTATAGCTCACAGGCAAAGTTTATATACATGGGAATTTTCTTTTTATCTCACTAAAAATCTCGTATTAATTAAGTTGAAATATTTTAAACATATAAATGTAATAAATTTCTTTTAAAATTTCAAAACTAATTAATGTTGTCTTCCATTTATTGACCTCTCCATAATAATTTAATTATCTTCCCCATTGAGCACCTAAATGTATATATGGGATATGGTTAACAAGGGGTAGTATTTGTTGTAAATTAATCCCTTGAATTGGTACAAAAGACTTAATCTTTCAGGCCCAAAGAGAAGACAGATCTAAAATCTGATCCACTTTACAACTTAAAGATGAGGATTTAGAAAGAAAAAAAAAATTACATTCCATTTGTTGAGTGACTCCTTAGCTTAGCTAAGCTGTTTTTGTCTTTCAATTGCCTCCCTGGAACGCTGGATGGAACCTTCTGCTCCTCTCTTGCTTTTTCTCCTACTACTTGACTCTCCAGCCCATATTTACACCAAAACTGGTCACTAGTCACCATCCTCATTATCATCTGCCACCTTCCTCATGATGGACAAAGAGAAGGAAAACCCAAAACAAACAAAAAAAAGAAAGCATGCAGAAGTAAGTCCGCACGAGATAATTAACATTCACAATTATTATGTAGCGGCCATCATTAATGTCTTCATTGTCATTGTATACCAAAACATGAATATCCTTTGCTCGCTTTCATGGCCGAATTAAGAAACCTACTACTGTACATGAGAATGGATACCTTGATTAGCTTGCTAAGAAACGACTTTGGACAAAGCAAGCTTTGAACATGATGTTTTATGCACATGTTTTAAAGGGTCATACCTTGCATATTTTTTCGTTGTCATTTTCATTTTTCAAATACCAACGAAAACACAACACATCCTTTTACATTCACACGTACCATTGAAAGTGATAGTACAACAAATTCATAGTTGGAGCCAAAGCTCAATCGTTCATGCTCCAATTATCAGCACACACATCTTCCAACTTATACAAACAAAACACCCTGCAACACCAGAAACAAAGCCAAAAAGTTCACAACAAGGACTATGGTCACACATCACACCGTATATATGCTGTACAATGCTACCAAGCTTCTCAAGCACTCACGTGAAAACAAGCCAAACTTTTCCCATATGATTTGATCAAAGATGGACCCCAAACGAGACAGAGTCTGCTCTCCATGCATGTATATCCCAGCCCAGGAAACTTGTCTTCACACTTTATGGGGATTAATATCAACATGATGTGTTTCCAAGGTAATGAGAGAGGACAAAGCATAAGATCAAGTGACGAAAAGGAACAGGGTGGATAGTGGGACCCGAGTTACCTAACGCGCATGCACTAAGTCCATGGGAGGGGAGGGGGGGTCTCTCAACACTTCCGGAAAGGGGGGTCCTCGTTTTACAGCACAGACCACCACTAGCAGCCTCCCCATGCGTTCAAAGCCGTGGTGACCTTTTTGTTATTTTTATTTTCCTTCTAATAAATCCCATCTAAAAGCAAAAAGATAATCATTTCTGGTCAACAAACAAAACCCCGTTTTTCCCTTCACCTCCTTTAAGCAAAAGAGCTAATAGCATCCCGTTACTTACATCACTTCCTTTATTGTCCCATTATATACACTGTACAGCTCCTTGAGAAAGTGAAAGACGACAAACGGAGGACCCCACAGAGCAAAAGCGAGTGTAGTGATTTCAAATTCATCAATCATTTAAGCCAAGAATTACTTCTTTCTCATCCTTACTTTCCACCATTTAGCCAACAACTTACTACAAAGGAGAAAGTGCGAGTCAGTAGTGCCTCAATCCGAAACTCTTGGCTTCGAGCTTTAAAGACTTCAAGTGCTCTATAGATTCATCAAGGACCAACAATGGGTTCTTTCCCTTGGCACCAGGTATTATGCTCTCCAGAATTTTTAATGTGAAGCGAATCTTATCCTTCTTTGACTGTTTACTACGTAAACTGGAATCAATTTCCTCTCTTTGATTATGTCCAATGGCGTAGCTTGATTCTGCATCACTATCATACTCGTGAGAGCCTTCCAATTTCACTGAACAAGCAGTATCCACCATTGATGATTGCTTATGCCCACCATTCATCAGTTTTTGCCTTTTGTTTGGACCATCAGAGCTAGCAACTTCCTCCATTACATCACCAACTTGGTCTTCATTCTGGTAGTTTCGTTTAATTGGAAAAGAAGAGTGATCAGTGCTCGTTACTTCGTCATCATCACCATCATGATAATCATCATCCTCGTCATCAGAGTAAAGTAACGCATTGAGTTCTTCAGTATCTTCATGCATCTCACTCTCTTCAACGCTCAAATGGTTCTCATCAAATTCCTCCTGTAGAGTCGGTGGTGTCGGAGTAAAAGGACCCATTTTAACTGCTTGCCCTTCACGCAAATCAAGACAAGAAGCCAGTTCTGTAACAGCAGTGGTTGCATATTGAGACGTAGGGGGAACAGAACCATATATCAACCTTGTCTGACTCCCTGACTGATCAAAAATTACCAGTCCTTTCTGCAAGGAGCCAGACACCACATTAGCTGTAGCCCTGCCACTGTACCCTTTAGCAATCATCAATTGCTGATCTTTGAGATACGAACCTAGAGAGGGCAATGATGTTGGGAAACAGGGGTATAACTGCTGAAGCAACTGACCAGAATGATACTTTTGTTCTGTTTTCAAAGTGGAAATATCTGCAGACCTTGGAATTGCCATAGTTGCAGGAACTGCATGAATGCCAGGATTTATACCAGGAACTAGAGACCCTGGCATTGAACTACTCACAGAAAACATGTGAGTACAGGGATTTATACATGCAGGCAAACATTCTGGTTGCCTGGGCTCTAATGATGTGCTCATGCAACTTAATTTGGGCAGTTGCGAAGTAGAATGCTGTGGGAAAAACCAAGAATTGTTGGTCTGGACCATCCAACTAGAAGAACCACCTGCAGATGACAAATGAGAAATAATATTTTTTTCCAGGAAATGAACCAATAAACTGGCAGCAAACAAGGGATGATAACATACCTGGATATGAACAATGCCCAATCTTGTATTCTCAATTCTTTAACGCTTCTTTGACAAACAAAAGTTTGAAAAGAAAAACTAAAAATCCCCACTAGACGATATAACACAAATATGAAATCGATCTACGTGACAGGTTTAAGCAAATGACGAAAGTACTCAGCCTGAAAACAGAAAAAATTAACAGGATATCAATTTAAACAAATGCTTATAAATTGATTAACACTTAATTGGGGCAAAGTTAGTCAGAGAAAGAATTAAATGAAACTAAAATTCAACTAACCTGGCAATCCTCCATTGGTTGAAAGCATGCAATTACTCTAACTACAATTGTTGGTTTTCCAGCAATCCCGTTTTCATATTTTAATGCTCGAAATCTCGTTTGACTTGCTGCTTGGCACACCATAACTACTTTCTTGCCTTGGATTACTATCAATTGAGGATGTGAACAGAAACAAATTCCCAAATAATAAAGCAAACAGAATCCACCCAGGCACAAGACCAAGAACTGATCTAACTTGTACTTAAGAAATGGTATGAAACCAAGAAACCAGCAGAAGAAGCTTGAATTATGAGTAGTATTTATTCTAACTAATCCTATATTGATCACGGAAAAACATAAAAAAGTGGGTAGATCCCATGGATGGTTGAGCAAAGAACAGCAAGCCGATAAAAAAATTAAGGTAAAGTGAGAGATGTAAACTTTACAAAATAACTCTGCAGTATAAATTCAAGCGCACAACTTTGCGAAACACATCAACCAAGACACTCAACCAAGGCATCCTGTCTCCCTTCTAATGTTTCACCAAATTATCCAAAGCTGCTGTTCTTATATTGTACCCAACTCAATATTCTCTGCAAAAGAAAGGTCTCATAAGAACAGAAGCATGACCACAACAATTTAAAAAACATAAACTACGAATAAGGAAGTCAAAACGAAAAAATCCACTTGTTTGATGAGATATTGCCGAAAAATAAAGGACAAAATTTACACCTTAGACTGGTCAACGATGCTAACATAAAATAAAACAATCATATGGAGTATGCTTGATACATTTCTTTCGTAGAACAGAAAAGGTTGTTACATACAAGTTCCAATTTCATTTCTCTCCCACCATTTCTTATACGAGCATTACAATCATGAGAGACTTTTTTTTTTTTTTATATCCCTCAACTGAATATATGCACCAAGCATCACTTAATTCTAGAATTAAATGTAAATAAATGGAAGTAAAATTTTATAGTAATGTTTGAGGTTTTTAAAAAAGGAGAAATCAAAACTTAAACATTTCCAATGTTAAACAGAGTTTGTTGTTTAAACTGAGCCCATATATCAAAATTTGTGTAAAATGAAAATCAAAAGTTCACTTCTTTTTCTTGCCCTATGCTTTCTCAGCAACTAAACAGAGCCTATAAAATCAACAAGGACAGAACAAATAGAAACGCCCCAAAAGAAGGCTAATAATGAAAATGATAAAAGTTTTAAAACCAAACTGAAACTCACTATTTTTCTCTTAACTTTGGAAATGGTCTCAACAATGAAAAAGAGGATAAAGATAAAAGTATAAGCTGTAATCATCAAGCAGAAGCAACAGAAAACAAAAACATAACAGTAGGAGCTTGAAAACAAAAACAAAAAAAAAGAGTACACAAAAGATGGTAAAATCAAGCACCCCAAAACATTGATTAGATAAAACCCAAAGAAGCTTTTTCTCCAAAATATTCTCAACAACTTAAAAAAAAAGGTCAGATAAACCTCCATGGGAGGATAAAACACTTAAAACCCAGAAGAAAAATATGAAATATAAACCTTTTTTGCTTACAAAAGAAGCAGCGGACATGACATGCCCACGAAGCTATAGGTGAATAGAAAACATAAAAGAACATGCAAAAATGAAAAAAAGAAGGAGACTTTAATATAACAAACTTACAGAAAAAGGACCAGCCTTGCTATGGTGGGATCCAAGGGACCAAAGAGTTATGCTGAAGACAGAATCTTAAAAACTACGAGAAAACGAAGACAACAGTTTAAGCTCCGGAGGCAAAGGATCTGTGTCTAAAGAGGCTAACGAGCGAAGAGATGCTGAGAATATATAGACAATTTGGATGACCATTTTACCCTCTTTGTTTTCTCTCTTGCAATTATTGCCATACATGTTTTTTTACTGTTTCACAGTTTCAGTTACAGTAGTTGACTCTTGTTAGTGGCCAAAGTCCTCTGTAAGTCTTTTTAGTTACCGCGGAACTTTTCCTTTGGAGATAAATAAAATTTTGACTGAACCCAGCCAGAAACAAACAGACTTTATTTGGGCCAGGCCCACTTACTGAACCATATCTGTCTTCCGTATCTTACTATTTTAGGAAAGGGCATTAATAACACCAAGTAAATAATTTTTTTCATCCCACCCTCACACCCGAGAAATGATTATATAAACCATTCTCATTACTTGAATAATATGCCTACCCAATAACAATTTCTCCTCACCATGACCAAGAAGCCAATGACTCTTGAAAAAAAAAAAGAAAATTAAAAAGCTAAAGTTTGAGTTAATGATAAATGGCATTGCAAGTGGTTAAGGATGTTTTGGATTGCAAGACTCTGGTCAATGATTTATATGTTTTTCTTCACCAAAAAACTCAAAGCATTTACCATTTTTATACTGTATTGATAATAATAAGAACATGAATCACAGAGACAAAAACATGTGCCATTCACTCATTAACAATCTAATCCACTCATTAGCAATCTAATCAGGTGATTACCCAAAATTTCAAAGGCAAACAAAGCTTTCTTTTCACAGCTTCTAACCAGTAATGAGTAATGACCCACAAAAGAATGTAAAGTGTCACTTGGGAGGGACCATGAAGAGATTATGTGCAGGATTCAATCAAGTAGTAGCTAAGCTCTCTCTTGCTCTTGTGCATACCGCCAACAACTATAATTCCAATTTAATTATAATCCTCGTGTATAAAAACCTCAAACCCCCAAAATAAAAAGGTATTATAAAACAAATAATTCCAAAAGGAGCCAATTTACAAAGTGAAGAGATTTAACCACTTAATAATTTATGTATTATTTAAGCATTAAATTATGAATGATAAAACCCATTTTGTTGGCTTTATTGCTTAGAGTGGAGGGAACAAGCACATTGCACTCCCAAGCTATACCTATTCATCCTATTATTAAGGTCTGCCCTTTTGAAGGCACTAGGAAATGCTCCAAAATTTCATTGAGATAGAATGGTGGAAGTAAGGGATTCCTCTTGCCCTTGTACTAATAAACATTAAAGTAATCAAGAGTTCATCAATGGGCTTCAATAATATCTATTTTAATTGGAACAGTGCTGGAAGTATATTGAATCAATCACTTGGCAATTCAATGGCTGTGCTTTATAAAAGTAGCCGTGGTCAGAAAGCTTGGGTGGAGGGGGTGAAAAAAGCAAAAAGGATATATTAGGATTTTTGGGTACCAATTCTTGTGCTATAATATGCAGATATACTTTTATTAATTTAAGAGATGAGTATGGAAGTCTACATATATATAGCTTTTGGTGGTGCGCTTGTTAGTGCCAGCGCTGATTGTGGCAGTGATGGAGAATTTGAGAATACGGTGCCTGAAATTTGAATACATTCATTCTTTTGATTATTCAAAAGAAAAAGGCTAAATATATACTTGGCATTCATTCTATATCTAGATAATCTATGCGTGGGTTTACCCATCCTCTTTTCATGCTGATTTTTACTTTTGTGTAACTACATTACGACTATCTATCGACCATGTAAATTGGATTTATTCAATTCTTTTATTGATAGGTAGAAATTCCCTTCCCCATAGTCATATATCAGCATAAGAAAATCACTAACAAATGGTTGGTGAACAAACCCAGACTCAAAGATCCTTACAGTCTATGTGAAATAATATTTTTATTGCCAATTACCTATGCCAAGGCAAACACATATGGATGAACCTTGGACCTGTAGTAACCTTCTTCAGTCAACAGTGTCTCAGTGTTTCTTAATTTTGATTAGCTTTCCCCACCCCACTTAAGATGGTTACATCTTATGAGACTGATAAGAGATACAAATTCTGCAATGGAGACTTGAAAGAGGAGAAAAGTGTGAGAAGATGTGCCGACGCATGGCTGCTTAAACCAAATCTTTGGATGGGATCTGTTTTCCATCTGATATGATTGATTTTGGGGATGGTATACCCTCTCTCCTACTCTACCATAAATTTACCATCTTTAACACTTTCTCATGGTTATGGATGCCTTTAAACTATGAGACCCAGACCCATATTGGCAAAATAAATGAAAACCCAAAATTCCCTGCTTCAAAATGTTCCTTGTCACCCATAAATATAATTGATTTTTGATTTCATAACTCAGTGCAGATACACTGGCCTTTTAAAGCTTTATCCTCAAAGAATTGAAAAGAATGCATATTGATTTGCAAATTTAGAAGGTTTGTATGATAAAATTGGAGAACTATATAAAATTTGTTCTTCATCGTTCGCCATCAAAAATCTTTGAGGAGTTTCCTGACTTGCTCCAACGTGACAAAAAGCACCACAGTGAATGGTCCTTGCCTCGAAATTGTCGGGATGAAGCCCTTATACAAGGCCATAGGACCCTCTGCCCTCACTGTCTTCAAAGCACAGTCCAAAGCACCCGAGTAAGGCGGCACCGCCCCCGGCGCCACCTTCATATTCATCACCCTTGTCTTTATCACGTCAACGGGGTTAGAAGCTACAGACGCGACGAACCCCGCCGCGAAGCTGGCGGTCACGTGGGTTCCAATCCCATCACTCATCACACCCTTCTCCAGAATCATCTCCTTGATCTGATCGTAGGTGGCCAGCTGTGAAGCGGTGACGATCATGGCACGGTTCACTGTAAGAGCTGAGCCGCGCCACAGGCTACCGACACCTTCTTGTTTCGTCATTTGTCCTAATGCATCAATTACGCTCTTGTAGTTGCGTCGCTGGTCAATAGGAAGACGTCCATCAGCTTGCATACGAACCATTGCTACATCAGCAGGGTTGCCAACGGCTGCACCGACGCCCCCGGCAATAAGGCCAGCCGCTATCTTGCTCGCAAGTGGCAAATTCCCGCTTTCCTTGTCAGTCCATTTATTTTTAAGAATATCGTAAAGTCCCATACGAGTGGTGGAATATAGGGTTTGGCGAAGTATGGTGGCGGAGACGCCGGAGAAAAGGGCTGCCACACCTTCTGATTGGATGATACGGGCACCAATAGAAATGGGACCAACACGAGGCTGTGAAACGATTTGGGAGATTGAAACGTTACCAGCGGCGGAGTTCACGGCGAGTGCTGGACGATAGACTTGTACTGAGGGATTGGGGACATGGGACTCACCTTGAAGTTGCATCCGGACCTTGATAAGGTCAAGAGGATGTGTGGAAGAGCCGGCTACGATTGATGCGATGCCTCCTTCGACAAAACCTTTCAAACCCATGTTTCTGTTTTTTAACAGCTCTTTTGCGGGACCAAAAATTTGTATCTGAGAGACGCTATTATAGATTTATAGTATGAGAGAGCTAAGAAAGACGCTTGGGAGAGATGAACAAGTTGAATGTGGTGTGGCTGAAAGAAGTGAAGGGCAGGCAAATTTATATGCAATGCGGGGGTGAGGGGCAGTTGCGAAGAAGACAAACAAAGGGATTGTGATGGAAACCCCTGTATGAATTATTGAACGTTAACGCGGTCGTCTCACTGTCCTCGACTCTGTAGCCAAAGGGCAGGGAGGTGTAGTTTTATGACCATTATTTAAGTATTAAACCGTGTGATATTGACTTTGACGCCCCCTTTCGCCGCTAATGAACAACCGGAGTGCTTATTGTTGCTATCAACGTACTAATGGCTAAGCCATCTGCTTGGAAGGCACCATTTTACCGGTCACCTATTGGCTATTGGACCCTTCAAATTTCAATGGTCCTAGTGCAGCACAGTTTGACAGTTTCCAAATCAAGAGGGCTAGGGGGAGCACCAGCAACACTAAATGAGCCTTGCATTGCAATTGGGATTGTTAGATTGATGTCCCTGTTGGAAGAGATCAACTCTGGCTGGCAATTTGCATTCTATATAACTGTCACTGTTAGAAGTAGAACCGATCAGGTCTACCTCTACCAGTGCCATGCCAGTCGTATGTTCTTTATCAGATTTAACACAACATCGACATAATTATTTCTTTTCTTTCACCGCCGGATGTTGCCACTTCATCTACGCGCATAGAGACTTCCCTGCTTGCAACTTACTGCAATTCATTGAGTGACAGGGAAAACCATGAGGCCCTATATCATTGCTTTTAATAAATTATTACACAGATCATCATCTAAGCCAAAGTTTCTTTGCAACTCCTTCATATTTCAAGATGATACTAATCGCTCTACTTCATGAAGCGAACGTTACTAGTACAAAATTCCAGCACTCTTGCATATAAATTTAATTGGGCCGAACGAGCACAAAAGTGCAATATGGGCTGCGCTGATAAAAGTGAACGACGAACAGCTATTGCGGGTAGAAACCCCAGTGGGGTTACTAATATTAAAAAATCTGTCACCAGTGAATAGCTTTGTCATGCATAAATTAGATGCTCATACAGATATTCCTCAATAATCATACATGCTACCCGATAATATCCATATATGTTCATGGCATGTGACTTATTCAGCCTACATATTCTTCCAACAGTTACCAACTGCCACGTCCTCAGTGCAAGGTTAGGACTTCAATCTCAAAATCAAGAACTGAGTTTGGCTGTATTCCCCATGCTGGAAATCCGCCAGCACCATAAGCATAGTCTGGAGAGCACTGCAAAAATTAAGAAGACCCATCAGAAGCTGCACAATTTATACTTTTCATCTTCAATGCCTAAGAAAAGGATGGCAAATAATGAAGACATGCCGGGATAAACTAATATGATTTTCTTCTCAGGCTCCACGTGACAAACATTCGAGGGTTGCTAAAATACCAACTGAAAGAACAGGGTGAATGATACACTCTTGTTTGAAATGAGATTTGAAATGAGAACAAATATTTCTAATTTCAACTACTCTTGATTTTTTTACATATTTTGAAAAACTTCCACGATGCCAATGCAGTTTCAACACTTCAGATGTCATAGCTGAGGTAACAAAATACATACATACACACACAGGCACTAACTTCTTTTCTTTTAAGGAGAAAAAAAAAAAGAAGACCACGGTAAATTTGTGAGTCATCAACTTTGCAACAACAGGTATCTACCTTTATGATATGACTCATCATTCATGGCATCAATCTAACCATTTAAATTTGAAGTTTCAAATATGTAATTCCAGTAGAAATACAAGACAAATGAATTTAGAATTCAATAAAAATAGTACCCGAAGACGAGCAACTTCTCCCACTTGCATTCCCATCACACCTTCATCCCATCCTATAAACAAAAAAATTTAGTTCTCCCAGATGAAATATTATGTACTGCACAATAAGGAGGAGAACAGATATAAATGTAGAAAGAAGAAAAATGATATGCTAGGTTATGAATGAAAGTCATCACAAGAAGCAACGCACATAATCTAATTTCAAAAACATAAAAGTTTTCTTCTTCTTTTTTTTTTTTCCTTTTTCAATCAATAATGAGTTCAACTACATAGCATACTATAGTGCTGTCCCCTTAGACAGCATATGCCTTCACACCATTTCAACCTGAGACCACTTCTGAGATGAAATGGGTATCCCACCACCGATAAAGTGCAGTGGCTTAAAGTTCATCAGGTTATAGTATCAAAGTGCATGGTTACCATAAATTTAACATTCTTAATCAAGCAGCATGATTCTATCTTTGTATTAAGCATAGAAAACAGAAACAGTATATGTTCAATCATCTAACAACTAAATACCTAAATGGGCAAAAAACAATGAAACTTCCTCAATTCCCAAAGTCGATAGGTTTAATGTTCAACAAAAATAATGCACTTGCATCTATCAAAACTAAAGAGATAAACATATTCTATATGACATTGTACTTCCTCAAGCATAATTGTCTTATTATCCAAGAGAACAATTAAAGCCTTGAGGGAAAAAAAAAGAGTTTCACTTTTGTATCAGGTTAAACAATAATGGATGGAGGTGCTATAGTAGACAATAGACAAAAACAAGTTCTACTAGAAAACAACAGTTATTCAACACTGAAATTTTGGTAAGTCAAACTTTTCCTCTCACCTCAAACCCAATACAATTCACATTCACATATAATAATAATAATAATAATAATAATAAGAGGCTAATCACTTGACAAGAAACATGCTTTCTTCTTACGAAAAAAGCATAGAAATTTTTGGGATATTTATAATGGACTTTAGCAAGGTAAAGACCAAAACAATAAGCAATTAAACTTTACCTTTAATAACAGAACCCTTGCCAATTTGGAAAGAGAAAGGCTGTTGTCCTTTATCCTTTGTACTAAAATGACACAAACAGAGAAGTAATTAATAATTCGGTAGAAATAAAGTTGTACAAGAAAACCCAATTTGTCTTTCTGGTTGAAACCACTACTCACCTCCAGAACTTCTCAGACAGATTACCATTTTTCCCTGCACCAAAATAGAAACAAAAAACAGCGTTAATAGCACAAAAAGTAAGGAAATTTTTAATCAAATTTGGACTTTTAAGAAAAAACCCTGGTGATAAAAGAAGAAAATATCAATGATTAAAAAAAAATGGCAACCGGGTTTTGCTCAGCCGGAGTGAAAAATAAGAGTAAAAAAGAAAAGTGGAGAAAGAGAAATAATAACCATAGCCAGTGCAGTGAACGGTGACGGTCTGACCGGCGGTGGGTTTGGGACCGGTTCCGGGCCTGAGGACTTGCTTCTCAATTCCCATTTTCAGCTTAGATGGTGAAAGGAATTTTCAGGGTTTCCTTTGTGTCGTCGGTGGCGTAATCTGCTTATGCTTTGGCTGACAAATGTCGATATAGATCTTGGCGAAGCCAGTAGCTAAAAAGGGGGAAAAAGGTCTTGGGAAACCGGTTACTCGCTACCGGTTTGACCGGTTTAATTTGTTGCATAATAGTTCGTCAATCCTCGGTGGAGTGACCGGCTAATACAAATTTATATGGATTTCCCACATAGTAATTGCTGGATCAGAAGTTGAGCCCTTCACCCAGCCGCCCCATCACTTCCCCAATAGGTAGAATTTCCTTGATAAGGTTACACTTCGACCTCCATATATATCCGCATAGTACCTTTTCTAAATTTATAGTATTTATAATTTGTTTGTATGATTAATATAATTAAAATTATTAAATTAAAATATAATTATATTATTTAAATTTGAAATAAAAAATATAAATATTAATATTTATCAAATATAATAAAATTTAAAATTAATAAATTTTAATCATCATATAAATTTTGATATTTATACGAATCAATAAATGAGTTTTAATTATTTGTTAAACTGTATTAAATATATATGTAATAAACGGGTTATAGGTTATATAGGAATAAAGATGATAAGATTAATTAATCTTATGGTGGGTTAAACAAGTTTTAACAATTAATAAATGATTTATTTGTATATTAACTGTATTGACACAATTAAGTGATGTTTGGTATCTTACAATGTAATGTAATTACTGATAATGTGATTGCAATCAATCTGAATGCAAAAAAAGATAATATTACAGTATTTGGTATATAAGCAAAGTAATAATTAAAATATAAAAAAAATAATATTACAATATTTAGTTTATAAATACTTTGTAAGGATGTAATATCATTTTTTTAAATTATCCTCATTGATTAAAATGCAAGTTTAATATATTTTTATATTTTTATTATTAATTTTTTATTTTTATATAATATTATCTCTTATATATATTTTATTTTCATTTCATATTATAATTTTATAAATTTTATTTCTTAATATAATTTCTCATATTATATATTTTATTTTAATTTTTTTCTTTTAAAAGATAATATAAATTTTATTGCCCATATAATAGAGATGGCTACTAAGAGTAACAAAGCAACACCCCTCAAAATCTATATAAAAAATAAGTTATAATATTGCAAAATATATTTAATAAAGTAACAAAATTGAAGATAAAAAATATATTTAATAACATAGTGCAATGCAATATGATTACATTGATTTTGGGTGGTGTTTGATACTTTACAATGTAATGTGATTACAAGTAATGTAATTATAACGAAAATAACATTATAGTGTTGGGTATACAAGTAAAATAATGATTCAAATGCAGAAAAGTTACATTACAAGTATTTTGCTAAAAATGTAATATTAATTTTTAAAATTACCTTTATTTATTAAAATGAAAGTTTAATATACTTATATTTTTTATTATTAAGTTTTATATAATATCATCTCTTAAATATATTTTTAATGTCATATATTTTATTTTCATTTCTTATTATAATCTTAGATATTTTATTTTCATTTGTTTAATATAATTTTTTATATTATATATATTTTATTTTAATTTTTTTACTTATATTATATAAATTTTAATTTTTTATATTTTATTTTATTTTCTAATTCTTATATTATATATTTTATTTTAATTATAACATTACAAAATATCTTTAACAAAGTAATAAAGTTGAAAGATAAAAATATATTGAATAACATTATATAATGTAATGTAATGTAATTGTATTAGTTTTAGACTGTAATTATATTATATCTCCTTACTATAACGTGATTACATTGTAATTTTATATTGCTGTGATTTATTGTAAGATAAATACTGTAATGTAATTTAATTAGACACATTGCAAGAAATATATTCTCACTTCTCTCATACTATCTTGGAGTGTATCTTTATATTCATTGATTGTAATATAATAGCATTGCAATCTTACATTATTTGTTACAAAATAAATATTAAAATGTAATTTAATTAAATACATTATAAAAATATGTTTTTACTTTTCTACACAAACATTACCTTAATATAAAATATATTTATTAAATTTAAACTCTCTTAAATCTATATCATATTTGTGTTTATACATATTTTGTCAATCTGTCTGAAACAAATATATGACAAATACATTTATCCATCTAATTAAAGAGAAATTTTAGACCCGGCAGAGTTGCAAATGCCTAGAAAAACAAACATTGTCTAAAAAGAGGGAAAAAAACAAACAACAAACACGGCACTAGTGCTCCACACCACGGTCAAAGATGCAAACCAACATTAATAATTAAGCAAAAATTAAGGTCTAAAGAGCGGATGACTCACAACTCATCAATCCATATATTCCTTTTTACTTCTAATTTACTTTTCGCCTATATATAAGCATCTGTGTCTTTGTACACCCCACCCAGAACCAAAGAAGAGGAAAACACCTCTTCGTTCTCTCTCCCTCATCCCTGTTCCTCCAGGACAGTATCTTCTCTCAATTTTGGTTCGGGTTGGTTGGGTTTCGGAGGACCCATGATAACAAAACGTATATCTGGGTCATTCGGAACCTGCATTGATCTGATCTGATATTGGTAAAGAGAGAAGAAAACACACATAAACCAACAGAGGGAGAGAAGAGGGGATTCCACTAGTAGAATAACCATGGAGATAGAGAGGCTTAGGTCATTGTTTCTCCTCTGGTGCAGAAGTCGAACCACACGTGTTGCTCTTGTGGGTGGCAACCACACCGCTGCTAGGTTTTGCACTCGCTAAAAAGCCTCCCTGTCTCCGCTGTTTTGGTTTTTGTCTCTTTTTTTTTCTCGTTTCACCAATCTCTTGGCTTTTTCCAGTGACCTTTTGCCATCAGAGGCACCCATTAGCCGAATTTCGCGAAATTTAGCGGAATTAAGCTCTTTTGGCGTCGTTCCAAATACAGATCCGGTCATTTGACATGGAAATGGGAGGTGGGTATCGACCCCAAAGTCATAGAATTTCATTAAACCCTGACACCCTTTTGGTTATTAAGCTTCCGGATCTAAGGTTCCTGCTTGTTTTGTCACGCTCGCTGTTTTTAGCAACGATGATTGTCACATTGCCTTGGGTTAGGTCCGTTCTAAAGGGACCTTCAGGTTCGGTTTTTAATACCATTGATTATCACCAAAATTCTGGTTCTATTGATTTGGAGTATTGGAATTTGCTTTGGCAAGATTTTGTTGACGAGGGTCTCATCAGAAAAGGCGATAAAGCTCTTATTTTGAACTCTGCCATCCAAGGCGTGGCTGATGGAGGTTCCATGTTCGTGATCGACAACGAGATTGATTTGGTGGTGGAACCTGATTTGGAACGACAAAGTTCTTTACCAGATGAGGGGTTTGATTTTGTGTTCGTGTCTGGCTCTCTGGATTCCAAGTTTGTTGATCGTGTTGTGAAGATTGGTGGTGTTATTGCTATGCAATTGGGTGATGACATCTCAAGCTATTATCAAAAGCAGTCAGACTATAGAATTGTGTATCTTAAGAAATATAGTTCAACCATCTTGGCAATGAGGAAACTTGGTTCAAACAATCATTTGTTGGATTCTTCAGCAAAGCGAAGGCTTTGTCAGCTGACATTGGAGGCTAAGAAAGCGGCATTGAAAGGTTTAGAAGATGTTTTGTTTGAGCCACCTAGAAGAGCCTTGGCTAAATCACATGCGTACTTGAGGAAAATGAATTTTCTTCCTGATTTGTTAGGGGATTCTCTTGAGCACTATCCCCGTAGAGTTTTCATTGACGTGGGGTCTTCTAAGGATAAGAATGTTGTGATGAAATGGTTTGATAAAAACTATCCAAAGAGGAATCAAGAATTGAGTTTTACAGTTTGGAAATCGGATTGTCTGGAGGAGAGGCAAGAAGAGTGAGTCCTCGGATTGATGTTTCGGATTGGTTGATGAAAAATGCAAGAGAAGAAGAGTATGTTGTCATGAAGGCAGAAGCAGATGCGGTGGAAGAGATGATAGCGAGGAGGGCAATCAATTTGGTGGATGAACTGTTTTTGGAGTGCGACAACCAATGGCAAGATGGAGGAAAGAGAATAAGAAAAAGAAGAAGAGCAAGGAGGGCTTATTGGGAATGCTTAGCTCTGTATGGAAGGCTGAGGGATGAGGGAGTTGCAGTACATCAATGGTGGGATTGAGAAAAAAGGCAGGCGTATATCCCCCATGCTCCATCTTTCTTGGTTATGCTTATTCTATAATGTGTCCTATGGTTTTCGTGTTTAGAGTCCATGTGGGGGAGTCTACATGTGATTTCTCCAAATAAAAACATTTTGTTGCTTGGTAGTCTGGCTTGATGACGTGTATGCCTTTGGTGTTATTATTTCTTTGTCTAGATGTTGCTGTTGATTGTCAAATCCTTTGATGTTTCTTTTTTATTTTATCAGAATGAAGATGCACTGTGCAAAACTGCAAAGAATTAAGTAGTCTATTCTTCTTCCTTATGAGATTTCCAGCGTTCTTTAAGTGTAAAAATTGTTTGGTACTAGAATAAGATCACATGTTTTCCCTAGTCTTTTCTTTTCTTCTTCTAATCCCGGATGCTTCATAGTCCGGTCCACTCCTGAATGGCAGGCATAAAAAATGATATCATGATTCGAGCGGATTAAACAAATCTTCTTTCATTCGAGAAATATGATGAATAAAATTTGATGTATACCATTGATTGTGTTGGCAAGAAACTAAGGAGCAGTCAACCGCTCTAGTCACAGAAAAACTGGGTGCGCTCATTAATTGTTTGGCCAATAATGTCACTCTTTGATTGCTAAACAACAGACCTGAAAATAGTGAAATGTAGCCAAACCCCGAGGACTGGACTGGAAATTCAATGGCAGAAGCAAAGGACGGAGGTGAAAGGAATGGGTAGCCATTGACATGCGTCCGGTAAAAATGAATCTTCGCTTGTCGGTGCGGGCAAAATTTAGTGGCTTGGCAGACATGTGCGGTGTTTCTTGACCGTGGAAATTAGTGAGCGTATCAGTATTGGATAACCTTATCCCATCCTTTAACTTATTCGGCCAATTATCGACATTTGGACATATCGGCCACTGCCTACAATGTCCTACGCCTCCATTCAAATTTTAACTTCACCTCTTTAAAGTGCATAGACACAGCAATTATCCGAGTTACTCATTGTGCGGTAATGGCCGAATAATGGAAAAACATTCCATTAGCCATAATACTAATACTAACAATAATAATATAAGTTGGTTAAAAGGAAGAAAAAGTTGTACTAGTATTATGAACAGAATATTGCTTTGGTTTTTTATATGTTCTTTTTTTTTTGTTTACTTTAAAAAAGTGGAATAACAATCAATTACTCTTGCCAAGATTAACAATTCATTAACAGAAGATGTAAATAATAAAATAAACACAATATAAAAACATAAAAGCATTTGGATTCTCATTCCAATACATATGGAGCTACAAAGAGAGTAGAAACAGGGCCATGTTAATACCTTGCTAAGAGAATTAACTAGACAATACAGTAATCCTGGTCTCCTGTATTTGATCCTAGCAAACAAAAGAGCGGCCAAAGCTTCCACCAGAGATATCAGAAAAAGGAAACCAGAATTGAAGGAACCAATCCACTGAAAGGCCTGCACCTTTCAACAATTTTATTTAATTATTATAAACTAACTGCACGTATCAGTAGTTCAGTACTCAATACTACTAGTTTACCACCTGCATCAGTTGCTAATTATTCTTATATATGGATAGCGTTTTTAATTCAAGGGGTATTGTTGGGTAAAGCTGGTGGAGCAGAGAAGAATGGAAACGAGGGAAAGCCTGTGGGGACATTTCCTGGAATTAGAGGCAACCTGTACTCCGGGTAGGGTCCGTTATATGGAGGAAACTGGAAGCCACGAAAGGGAGGCAAATCAGGAAATGTTGGTGATGTTCCCTGCAAAAGTCGCCGAGCCCCTAGAGCTACGTCCATGCCTGAAAAAGACAATGCGATAAAGAAAGCTAAAACAAGGATCTGGGAATTGGCCATCACTGGACTCAAAAGAGATTCTTATCAAAGGAAAGTGACTTAGATATAAGGATATTAATCAAATGAAAGCAAGATGGCTTTGAAGTGAGTGGATAAGGACCCAGATTGGGTTTTTATAGTTGTTAGAAAATGTTAAGCGAGTTAAATGAAAGAAGTTGGCCTCTGGGTTTGGTGAGTTTGCTTCCATGAATGGCCAGTAATTCTTCGACAAAAGTTGAGTCGAACGAAGAAAGCGTAGCGGTTTCCTCATTTACTACAGTTTTTAATAGCTTGAAATATTGTTGTATTAACTTCTTTAGGTTAACGTAGCTAGTTGGTTAGATTCAGCGATGTATAACATTTTCTTTTTGGAACGTTGAGGTCAACTGCCATTTTGCTTTTGCATTAATATGTTGCAATATATGGTTGGATGTCTTTTTCGATATGTCTTAAATACCATGATCAAACAATCTAAATTAATAGAAACTAGGATCATCTACACATAACTGCCACGAATCTCACCAGCATGAACAGTTATGATGGTTATGAGGTCTCAAGACATTAATCAATGGGACAATGCTTTTATGAACAACATTGCTTGAACCGATCCAACCTTAACTGGACCAATCCGAATTTAGTTGACCTACTGGAACATTGTTTTTTTTTTTTGTGAAAAGTGATGATATTATTAAAAGTCTCATATGGGGGACAAAAGATAAACTGCAGTGGCTTACAAAACCAAAAAGAGCCCTTGGCTTAAGGGCTGGTAAAAATCAGAAGGTTTCTGATATGCCAACGATAAGGTACATCAGTTGATCATTCATCTTACAATAACACTGGATGCATCGAACTAAGAACAACATCGACTTAATAAAACAAGAGTCCATTTAAACGTTTTCCACCCCCAAATCAAATTCAAAGTAAGCATTGAAGTTTGAAGTCCAAGCTACTGGAACGTTGTTAAAGCATCTTTCAGAACATCTTGAATCAGTACGGGATTGGTGTGGCACTCCATGTCTCAACTCACCATGTACTTGACGCTGGCATCATCCTTACCTAAACATTACATTGATTCATGTTTTTACAATTAGTTTTACTCGCTTCCGGTTATCTTTTACTACTTACTAGGTTACTACAGATTAACTATCTCATAATTGAAACCTTAAACTGATCTGCAACTTTGAATTGGTAATTTTTACAAACAATGTGAAATAAAGATGCGGTGGTTTAAGGGTATAGTCTTTTTTCCCCGTCTCTGGCTCTGTTGATTCACAACTGAGAACTGAGCCAGACATATAGGTCTTCAAATGAACATTGTCAGTTCACACCTTTTTTTATGCTTGCAGTTGCAGCTGACTATTATCAAGAACGAGAAGCCATGGTATTAACTTCATATCAATATTTTGAGTTTCTAAAGAAAAAAAAAAGTCAAATCAATTTGGATCAGTTATGTTTTAAACTGGGTCTTATTGCACATAGCAGGGGAATCATTTTTCCACTGTTTCCAATGGTTTTTCTGCAGCTGGGTAGATTTTTATGTTAACCAATAAACATTTTCCCTCTCAAAATGATCTTTTCTTTACTATTCTTGGATAAAATGCAGTCCGACGTCAAAAACATGTACAATATACCATAATTATAAGGACACAAACATGTCATTCAAGAGGATTACGGAAATTAGAAGGAGCGAAAAGAACATAATCCGAACTACATTTTATTTAATACAGGAGTAACTCAAGCACTACTATTAATAGAAGAAAACCCTCACACTGACTCTACTCTCACATTAAACCACATGGAAAAAGAAGAAATCCTTAAAACTACACCTCCCAAGATACAAGAAAACAAGTATAAAACTATAAATCAGAGAGACAAGCAACTGTATATCAAATCAAACCAATCGTATATATGGGTGCAAACTTTATTCTATGCTGAATGTGAAATGAGCAAACTCATGGGCTAGAGGGTGCAGGAGGTGGGGACAAGAAAGGAATAGAGGGAATCGTAGTTGGGATTGTGGGGATTGAAGGCATGCTTGGCAGTGGAGGCAGAGTCACCTTTGGGGCAGAAGGCAAGTTTGGCAAGCTAGGAAGTGGAGGAAGTGTTCCAAGATTTGGCAAAGATGGTTGAGTAGTTGGCAAGGTTGGAAGTGTGGGCTGTGGCAGATTGGGGATAGAAGGCAACGGTCGCAGTGCTGTTCCAGGCAGAGTTGGCATTGGAGGCAAAGGTGGCAATTGCTGAAGCTTTCGAGCTGCTAGGCTAACCTCGATGCTCGAAAATGACAATGCAATGAAGAAAGCCAAAATGAAAAATTTTGAAGAGGCCATTTTGTTGCAAGCAAAGTTCAAGACCTTACAAGAATTGAAACAGGTGGGCTGTACGTGGTAAGACAATAATGCTTAGTCGAGGAGTTTAACTGAGTTTTGAATGGGGAAACTAGGGGGCTAGTCTTGAGGTATATATAGGAAGAGCTGCATGAATTGTTAATTAAGAAAATCTTGAAGTGCACTTTTTTCTATGTGTTTTTTAAACTTGTTCTCCTAGTTAGTTCACCTTCTCACCATTTTCATTGACAAATAGAACATTTGTTGGTTGACTGCTTTTTGTGGTAGGCTATAAGAGTTAAATAACTACACATTATAATAAGTCATTTAATCGAATTAGGATATCAAACTTCTACTTGATCTAATTGGTGGGTAATCTAATCTCAGTTCAAAGCCATTTCAGAAGCCACAATCTTTGCAGCATCAGGATTAATAATTTATATAAATACTAATTGGCTGCAGCTGCTTTCCAGGAGAAGCTACATTGGCACAAACGAAGGGTTGAAGAATGTTTCTTTCTTGTGATTAGGTACTTTTGATTGAAACATGCAGCAGCCATATATTCAATTCCATAGTAGTCTGTAACCATTTAATGATTGTTTTGGCCAAAGTAAAAAGATTCCATGATTTAATGTAAGCTGCATGTACATCTTTCCTCACAAATACTCCTCAATATGGTTCCGGAGTTGCTTTAAACCTCAAGCAGTGAATCAAATGCAAATCCATGGTGGACATCATATCAATTGTTAAAATATATACTCACTAGCTTTGATTCCTTTGCGATACATGGGACATCATAGATTATTAATTTTTAATATAGATAATTAATAATTCTAAAATTATAATTAAAAAAGCATTGTATTAAATATTTGTGAGGTGAAAAACAAAGAGAAATATATGGAAAAGAAATGTTTCAAGACTGCCGTTAAAGCTTGAATGTGTTATCTTTAAATGATGGTATTTGTGACATTAGGCAACATCAATTCATAAAGCCAAATCTTAAATATTTGCAAAAAAAAAAAATTAAATTTTTTTTAATGCAAAAGTTGATTTTCTTTTAATAGAGATAGAAATTTGACTTGACAATTGCTTTTATCCTTTAAAAAGAAGTAAAAAGTATTAAGTTGACGACATTAAGCTTTGATAAAGTTAACATTTCCTATTTTATTTGTTTAGGTTTTGCGTATTTCATATTTTTTCTAGGGGACATTT